TAAGATTAAAAGAAAAGATGTAATTTTTCGAACACTATTCACAGACTTTTATTTATCGTCATCAACAGGTTCATGTTACCCATAGTTCCACAGTGGCTGATCACTGTAAGACGTATGCCTTAAGTTATCCTAAAGACAAAGACTTCATTACAACATGTGATCATGAGCATAAGGAAAGGTGTGATCGGTGTGTTATATTTCCTAAAGTCGTTTCTGAGGTAATTATTATTTTAGATGTATTAATGAAGTGGTGATGATATGATAACTTTTCTTTTCAAGTACGGCATTGCTCTTTAATGTACAGGAGCTGCTCTCTTAAAACTCAGTAGTAGTGATCGCCTTGTTTGTTGAATGCATCAACAGCGTAATCTTTGTTTGAAGGTAATAGTGTAACCGTCTACTTTTATAGTTAACTAAAGTGATAGAAAACCTTCACGATGGAGACGAAAAAGACCAACTGAAGTTTGAGTTAAACCAAGCTAAGCAGAAGATTGACGCATGGAAAGCGCACATTATTAGATCTATTAATCAAGACCAAGCTAGACTAGACATTATAAATAACCTTGGTCAAGAGTCTGCACTACTAGTACTTGACTGGGCCATGAAATTCCTTCCCAGGAAGTTTCGAGAGTCACAAAGTGACTGGTTCGGGAAACGGGGAATAAGCTGGCATATAACCGTGGCTGCACGAAGAAATGATGAAGGAAATATCACAATGGTAACTTTTGTACATATATTTGAAAAGTGCAGTCAGATCAGTGCTACTGTGTTAGCGATCATTGATGACGTATTCAGTCAATTAAAGTCATTTGCACCAGAAATTTCCACTGTCTTTCTCAGGCAAGACAATGCCGGATGTTACCACTCAGCAGAAGTGTTACTTTCCATCAACCAAATTGGCACAAAGCACAATTTGAGGATTTCAATGGATTTCTCAGACCCGCAAGGCGGGAAAGGGTCCTGCGACCGTAAAGCGGCTGGGCTAAAAGCTAAAATGAAAGTTCATCTTAACGAAGGTAACGACATAGAGACTGCAGAACAGATGGTTGCTGCTATAGAGGCAAAGGGCGGAGTTCCTGGAGTTAGAGTACGATTATGTGGTCCTCAAAGTGAAGATGTACTGTTTACAGCAAAATGGGAAGGAATCAGTTTCCTTAACAACATGAAATTCAGCGATGAGGGAATAACCGTAAGGAGAGCATATGGAATAGGAACTGGTAAAATGAAGAAATGGAAAGATTTCAACTTGCCCAAAAACTATCATCCACCATCCCTGACCGATCCACACGAGATGAGTGACCAGAGTGCTTTAGCTGGATTTTCTCAAGTAATTCCTAGGCATCATTCCAAGCAGACACAGCCCCAAACAAGCGATGGTCATTTGCAACAGCAAGATACAGCAGAAGAAGATCCAATTCATGACGACAATCCCGAAGCTGAAAGCTTATTCTTTTGCTCAGAGGCTGGATGCGTTAAGTCCTTTCAAAAACTTTCTGCTCTTGAAAACCACCTTGACTGCGGAAGACATAAGTACGCGCTAGAGCAATCAACTATGTTTGACAAGGCAATGCAATTGTATGCGTCAAAACTAGAAGAAGGAGCAACCACTGATGTACCGCAAATCACTCCCATTTTAACTGAAATTAACGAAGACACGCCGATGCTGCAAATGGGATGGGCCCTGAAGAACACAAAGGAGTACAAACGACTTACCGAAAAGCAGTAAGCATACTTACTCGATGTCTACCAAGTTGGCGAGGAGACAGGTCAAAAGGCTGATCCTGTGCACACCTCAAAAACAATGAAGAAGTCAAGATTGSCAAGTGGTGAACCTACTTTCGCAGTTGCTGAATATTTGACGGCACAACAAATTGCAAGTTTCTTTTCACGCGAAACGGCAAAACGGAAAAAGGCTGCAGCGCAAGATATATCTGAGTCTCAAAAAGATGCGCAGGAAGTTATGGCAGAAGACCTAGTGCAAAATCTTCGAAGTGAAATTATCAACACCTTGTCTACTCGCAGTAGTATACCCCCTCTATATGGCATCATAAGGGGAGGGGTGGTCATCTAAAACTATAGCGTCATTGGGGAGGGGTGGTCATCTAAAATTAGAGCACGTGTTGATTAGTTCAAGTAGCCAGTGCAAAAAGTAGAAACAACACGATTTTGCGACGAGTCAGGTTACGCCTTCGACGAATACATCGCAACATCGATATATCAAATTTGATTGTAGCAATTAGAGAAAATCCAACAATAAAATACATATAGCTACAAACAGAAAAACAAAGTATTTTGATTACCGGGAGATTGAAGACATGAGTAATTAGATCATCTGAATTACAAACACATCCATTGCGACATCAAGTATTAATGCAAGCCGACCCCCATAGAGATTTTGCGGAGAGAAAAAAAAAAAACATAGCGAAACATGATTTTGTGAATCAAGGCGGAGCTGATGACAGCTCATGAAAATTAAACCAATCACAGCCCATTGTTTTAAATCTATTATATAAATGTCGAAAGCAACTAGCAACAGAAACAGTATTTGTACGGTATTGATGTGCAGGAAACACCAGTATTAATTACCTACCTGTAACAAGAGTAAAGATGCCTTTACAGGAGAGAAAATCAAATTGGGAGAGAGAGGCCTTGAAAATTCATATCAGAAAAATCTACGAAGATCCTGTGGATGGGACATCATTCTGTACGAAACACGGAGTTGCTCTGACATTGGACTAATGGGCTATTACAAACAGAAAAAAAAAAGTATTTTAATTACCAGTAGACTGAAGGTTCATCAATGGATCAATGGAAAATCAGTACTCATCAGACTTGGAATTTTACGAGGCATTTACAGCCAGCAACACGCCACTACATAAAGCGCTGACAGCCCTGCTGAGGCAAGAGGGGCGTGAGGGACCGGAAATCTTTAGAGAGCTACGGGGATTTGTTTGTGATTACAATATCTGAAAACATTAACAGTCGACGAAAACGCTGGATTGCTAGATCATGAAATCGTACAAGAAGTGAGCCGACATGTTCTACAAAGCGATAAAATGGGGTATAGTCAAAACATAAGAGTTGCTGAATGCAAGGGTACTATACAAACCTATACACAACTCGACAAGATTGAAATAATGATGCAGCACTTAATAGACGATTTTAACCACACATTTTGGCAAGTCCAGACTAAGAGAGACGACAAAAAATTGTCATGTTTGTTGGCTGATTTTATCGTTCGTTTTCTCGCCATACACCCTCGTAAAGATTAGAACGGAAGAGTCGTGCGTTTATTATCTATGGACATCTTGGAAAGTTACGGT